ATCCTCCTCATGAGCGCTGCAGGCCACCACAGTGAAGGACCTGTAAGCTTATTCTCAGCCACAGCCGCTTAGCGAATGGTTGAGAGCGGGTTCTGCGCAGCCTGTTCCGTCAATGCATAATAAATGACTGGCCAGTGTTAAGCGGTAGTGAGGCGCCGGTCTAAGCTAAACATATCTCACTTGTCACCTTACCCTCCTCCCATTTTCCCTTTGAATAAGCAAATACCATCAGTTATCACTTCCTCTCTGCTGCAACCACTTGAGCTTAGTGCACCTTCTCTAGTACAGGGTGTACCGGGTGTGCTTCATTTTGTATATGCAGCAAAGGCCAGAGCCCTGTAGTTTTGGTACAGTTTGTAAAAGAAACAAGAGCTGAAGACTGTAGGTCATTCGGACCTGGCAGGTTGTGCTGATTGAGTAGTATTGAATATTAGGATTAGGATTTCAGTGACTGATAGCAAGGTATGAAGACCTTTGACCTCTTATATATCATGTTTATCTTCTCCAGTATCATAAAGAGCTCATAAATAACTGAGTAATTGAGTAAGTGAAAAATTATGAGCGCACTGGTGGAAATTGCCTTATGTATTTAGTGGATATTTTCATATATCGAGCGTTTTTTTCGATCAGGGAAACACTTCATTTAGAATGACACTCTTGATGTGGCATGCCAGTCTAAGATACTAGGTATAACTTAAAGGAAGAGAAGAAAAAGAAACCTTAGGCAGTCGGACAGAATGCGATGGATGTCATGTGTACGGAATAAACAAGTTAAAAGATGTGCAACAGGTTCAATGCATATGACAGAAACTACTCAGGACCACTGCAGGAACAACCACCATCAGGTGCCTCCAAATCGCTCCTAAAAGGAATTTCAAAAAGCATCTCCATGGCCACCCAGTCACTAGGACGGGACCATATTGCTGAGAGTTTTGTCGCTGTGACTCCGGAACGCCGCGATCTGTCCTGTCCTTGAGCTGGCTGACATTCGCACGCATTGCCTTTTCTTTTATAAAAAAAAAAAAAAGTGCTTCCGTAGGTTGTCTGCTACCTTTACACATCATTCATCCACAACCATATCAGCCCGCACACACTCCGCCCTTTTACCCCGGCTGCACAGAGGCGTAATGGCCCTTTATCGATTCCTCCCTCTCTCCCCGTCTCTCTTCTTCTTGCAGTCTTTTTGCACTGCAATGAGAGGTGGCTGAGATAAGCTGGTGGGGAGCCGGAGAAGAGCTGGGCAGAAAGGCCGCGTTTGTGCTTGTGTTTCATGTACCGCGTATGTACCAGTGTGCGGGTTAATGTACACAAGTAGTAGAGCCCACCCGCGCAGTCCGACTGCACATCACTGTTTGAGTAGTGATCCACTCTCATATCTGTACTAGGCCGACGTTTTAATACCAGCTATTAAATAGTACATACAGTATGTGTGTGCACACCAATAATGCAGCCATTGGGAGACATGGGGTTTTATCTGCATTGTGTAATATTGGCTTTGTGAACAGGGCGTGAGTCTCGGCCCTTTGTAGCTCCAGGAGAGCGCTAGTCAGCCAGGAGATGCCCGGTGAGAAAAGAGCAAATTTCACAGAGAAAGAAAATGTGTATTATATCAGAGCTCACTCAATATTCTATTATTTGCACCTCAAACAAAGATTCCCTATAAAACATGCCGAAGCTCATTAAGCCCTCTCTTTTCATGCAGTTGTTCCGGTCTTAATGGCTCGTTAATGGCAATCCCCATTACACGTAGATGATTGGAACACAAGCAACATTTTTCACGGGGCGCTTATTTGTCTCCAGAGACTATACATTCGGTCTTATCATATAATTATGGGCAGAGTAGTTCATTGTGCACAGAGGACCGAGTATGAATATTGATGGAAGGAAGGAATATTACCTTGAGCACACCTTGCATAGCGCCCTATCATCATGACACCTGAAGAGCATAAGTTACCTTCTCATTTTCATCTCATGTTTTTTTTCAACACGCAGACCACCATGATACCCAATTTATTCCCAGATAAGAAATTACATATGTTATTTAATGTATCACCTTTGGCCTATTTTTGACTGATTACCAAGTTGAGTTGATTTGCATATTGATCCTCCTCTGGTTAAGCTTGAAAGTATAAAAATACCACATTATTGGCAGCGATACATGCGACCTTCACTCAGCTGTTGTGTGTGCACAGGGACGGCGTTGCCCAAAGTAACGGAAATGGAGCAACAAACTGCATACAGTTTCATAGTTTTCCTGCTTGTCATAGTTCTAAATATATTTTCCCTGACAGAGAGAAAGCGACGTGACATGCAATGGGAGGGAGAGAGAGAGATTCTAGCTGCAACAGCTGTTTCAACATGTCCCTCTGCTGAATTTGTCAGAGAATTTTTCATGAATTCGAAAAGGGAAAGTCCTTCTTTGTCTTTTCAATTCAGGGAGAAGGCGGCAGCGAGCTGAGGAGGGTGTTCCAGACATCCCTCTCACCAGCAACCCTTTCCAGCTCCTCCCGGGGGACCCGGATGCCTTCCAAGCCCCGGGGGAGATACATTCTCCATCCAACGTTTCCTGGGTCGAACCGAAGCCTCTTATTAATGCAAAGAATACATGTTCAGAGGAGCCTAAATCCTGGCATTTACCTCAAAACCAGAAGCGGCTGCAGAAACAGTGCGAACAGGGATGTGATGAACTAAGAGCTGCCTGGAGACCAGTTTTCCTTTTCAAAGGATGAAGCCTCTTAGGAAACCAAAACGTGTATCGAAGCTAAGCTGTGAGCAGGTTACACCGTCATAGCAAATCCTCTGTACAATCGACAGCCTCGAAGTTCAAGGATTACCAGATGTTGTCTTAATTGTTCTCATTATCTTCTTCCTTCTCCTCTATAAGGCCTTCAGCTCTCAAGTGTATCTTGTTATATCTCTTTAATGCCTGTAATTAGACATTAAGCCTGATTCTCAAAGTACTCTTTTTACAACTCGAGTGGGATTAGCTGTTAAAGTTTCAAATAATAATAATAATTTTGAAAGTAAGTAGTAGTAAAAGTGATTATAATAATTTTCTGAAACAAGGAAAAAAGTGCTTCACAATGACATACTGTAAAAATTAATTTTAACGACAAATAACTGATGAAATAGAATTGATTGATTAAAAGTTCCAATTCCCAAAACAAAGTAGGGTGAGTGGAAGCTCTCGCTCAATCCTCAATGTCCTCAGGTGATGTTGCAACGCCTATTTGCTGCATAACACACTGCATTGTGGGTATTGAAAAATAGTGCCAAATTGTGATGCCAAATTGTGACAAAGAAGAAGAATTTGTGGAATTTTAATTAAATTGGTGCTAAGCTGCTATATTTTTTACAATGAAGAAATAGTAGTCTTTGTTTTGTAAAAAGTTGACCTTCACTAACATGTACGTCTTTAGACCAATATCGACCCTTCTACATTCCTCTTCATAAACGGACGCATTCTGGACAAACACGCATTTAATCTGCTGACAAACAATAGAAAATGTTTTCCAGTCCAGCTTGACCACAAAAGGGCATCAGGCTTTGACTGTTTTAGGTCAAAGCGCCTCCCCCTCAGCTCGGTTACTACTTATAACGTTCAGAAATAGTGTTGTTATTGTTGTTTTTAATTTACTAGCTCTCAAGCAATTAATTATTCATTTTTCTGTTTAGTTTTATGTTTCAATAAGAAAATATCTTACAGCAGAAGACACAAATGTTAACCTTGAGGTTACACAGTTGCATTCCTTTTAGAAATGAGCTGCACTTCCCTCTGACGAATGAGACATTGATGATAAAACATGGAGGAAACCGAAAAACAAGTTAATGTATTCAGAATTATTTGGAACCACGGCAATTCAAAATGAAAAAGTACCTCTCACGCTGTCAGCAAGTCCAAATGCACACGGCTGATTCAGTGAACACATGGAAGGCTCATTAAATCACTTGTGTCCAGAGCTACTTACCGGCAGTCTTTCCTTCGAACAGGCATTGAAATCAAAGAGTAAACCGCGAACATTCATCCATAAATTCGACAGCTGTGTAACGCACATGACTGGAGACCATATATGTTGAAGAGCTGCCTGAAAGCCGATTGTTCCCATGTAGGTTCCCTTAGTTCGAGCACCTGGTCCAAGCTGTGCTAAACAAGGCCGAGGAAAGTCCGAAATGACTTACACAACCCCGTCTCGCACTCTACAATCATATTTTCATGATAACACATAACAACGTGTTACTCCGAGACCTGTTGTCAACGTCCAAGAAAAAGAGCTGGCAGGATGTGTCAGCTAAGCACGATCATATCGGTGTTAAAATACATCCCCACTCAAGATCAATTAAACTCTGAAGGAGCCCAAATCCCGATCATTGCAGGGCTCGACAGTGAGGATTGCCCCGCTTACTGAGCGAGGGTGAAATGCCACAACGAGGCTCGTAAACACGCTCGCCTAATCAGGACACGGACAACCTAATAATTAACCAATAATTGGCCTCTTCTCCAGAGTTGATGATGGAGTTAAATAAGGGGGGAGGGGGGGGGGGATCTCGCATCGTTCTCATCTGCGTTGAGATCTGCACGTGAGCAGCACAACATTTGTACCACGACAAAGTAAAAGCGATTTTTCCTTCCGGGGTAAAAACACCAGACATTGAACGTTCCGCAACCATGTCGTGTTTGCTCCTAAACCACACTCCAAACATTGATTCCTCAAACCATAAAACAGAGTCACTTTTCCAACAGGGATTTGTTGAACGGTTTTGGAGGTCACAGTCAGATCGGTCACCTGCCGATGATGGCGACTGATCTGAAAACCCTTTTCATGATTCCTGGCCGGCATCGACGAACCCTTTTCAACCTATAACATTTCAGAGATCCTTATCGGAAATCTTTGAATACGTTTGGCCTGAATAATAACGATATTGACTAAGATCCACTTCAGGATTAATCATGCTGCGGTCAGTGTAACCTGCTGATTTGTGTCTTTTTTCCCCCCCTGCAGGACACTGAGATCCTCAACACAGCCGTTCTGAATGGGCGAACAGTAGCCGTGCCGGTGAAAGTAGTCACCGTGGGAACGGACGGAGCGATCTCTGATGTAACTGAATCAGTGGAGTGCAAGTCAACAGACGAACAAGTCATCAAGGTTAGCGGGGGATGCGTTTCAAACTGCTGCCTTTTGTTTTACCCAAATGTGTCTTTTGCCTTGTGCTTTGCTGTCCAGTAGTCAATAAAAGGTGTTATTTTTGCAGATGCTTAACTTCTCCAGCGAACGAAATAGAGAGATTTAACTGTCTTCATTAAACAAGCTTCTGGAAGAAAACTCTTCTCACTGCAGCTGTAATCTTGTAGGCAACAGTAGCTGTAAAGGTACACAAATAAGATAATTACTCATATTTTCTAAAGAGCTAAATTTCATGAAGAGAACAGGTTGGAGTTTCATTAGACAAAATTACAACTCCAATGTCCCTCCGCTCATTACATATAATATAAAAGACATCAATGGGATTAGTGTTTGCATTAAATACCTCTTTGTTTTGTAGGCTAACTGTATGCAACAACAAAACGTCCATTGTTTGCTACTTCCTTACTGCATGCTTTGACAAACCATAAAAAGCTGACAATTGATTCTCGTAATCATTCTTAAACCTTATTGGATTAGTGAGTAAATGAGGCAGCTCTGCCCTCCACCATGTCCCCAAGGTGTTATATGAAAGGAGAAATGAGGAGAAACAGACACATCAACAGTATGAACTTGTTTGAAAAAAAAAAAAAAAGAACACTGTTGGAAGCGTGTCTGCGATATATTGAGGAGCCGATTTGTGTTTCTGTGAACCACACATGCATATCAGAGAGAAGAGAAGAAACAGATCTCTCAAAGGGTTTAATTACCCGCCGAAAAAGAACCACACATGGTGACGCTGACCTCGGCAGCGTCCTCCCGTGCCCACCCATCTAGATTGGGAACAGAAAGCGGAGCCCCTCTTCCCTCCACCCTATTTTCAAAAGGAAACTTTGTTGCACTAAGGTTTTTTTTCCCCTGAGAACATCTCCATCGTGATTGTCCCCATTCCCCTGTTTTATGAAAACGTATCGTCCGGATGATTTAATTGCTTAATTGAGAAGATAATCAGAAGATTAAACACTGCCGTGATGGCGTCGCTTGTGAAAAGAGTGTTTCACTCCTTCGGTCTAATTCATTGCTTAATAAGTCAATTATTATTGTGCAATGGCATTGAACATTATTCTTATTCTTATTCTGACAGTAGAAGCTGCTCAACGTGGCAAACGTCACGTGGGATTTTTCTGTCTCATCGTTTTGTTTGCAAATTATTAGCATTTCACGTGACTTTACATTGTGCATGTATTGCTCTCTCTCCCGTCAAACTGACTGACAGCTGCTGTGGATGTGATGATTGTTCAGACTACGGCTGCAGCTGAACTGCGGCCCTTCTTTGCCGTTCCCATTGAGCTTAGAAAAGACGGCATTGTTACGCCACGCGGGATTTGTTTTGGGAATCCAAGACGAATTTAGGAATTTGGTCAAATATTGCTAGACTTCTGTTGTGGGATTCATGTGTGCTCTCTGCAGTCCAGAGCAACGTTTTGGAAAATAAAATTATTAAAATATGAGTACGATAGGAACAGTTTGGTCTCATCTCCCATTTATAAAGGCTGCCGCTGGGCCGTCGTCCTTACACGCAAAGACAACAGCGGCTCCTAAAATAGTTCCCATTTGAAAATGCAGAACAATAGCTATTACAAGTTACAGCCAACCTGACGGAAAGCCAATTATGTTGTGGATTTACCGAGCATAAACCTCCAGTGCTGAGAAACGGAGCCAACGAGGCGGTGCCAAAATCTACAGTCGCTCAAATCATTTGAGGCCTGGAGGCAAAAGCGAGCCGGTGTCTGTAGACCCCCGTGTGAGAACGCTCGCCAGCGGAGCCGAAATAAACATGTTTATTCCTGTTTTTTGTGCATATAGCCAATTTATATACCCAACCCGTTTAACAATAATAAGACTTAAAAGTTATGCATAAAACAGCAGGTGGCCGCGTTGACTGGCAGGTGCCGCCCCGGGTGGCCAGCTATTGACTGTGTGTCGGTATTGCCAAGACGGGGACAGCCGGAGCGCTGCCCGCACTGAACTTCACAATGGCTTTTCAGAGAGATACGGGAAACATCACACGGACAAAGTCTATATTTCATGCGCTCAGTGCGATTAACCTACCCTCTATTGGTAAAGTGACCTCCTCTTTAGACGTGACGTCAATGCCAGTTGCCCACAGCTCATAAGTAGCTCCGTGCTATACAGCGACCGGCCGGGCCAGCGATTAGCATGACACAGTGGGATCTCGCCTCCTCGAAAACAAATATTGATTCATTTTTTTCTCCTAAAATAAAGAATCAAAAACAATGAACGGCAGGGTAATACGATTGTGTTCATCAAATCTAAAAACTTGTTTTAAGATCTGGTTTTAAGTCTGTCCATTCTTCTTTTCTAATAAAGGATTTGATTTGAATATAAGGCTGAAGAAATAGCGAGGACGTGTTTTTATGTTCAGTTTTAAAAAGGTGAGGTGTACTGGTTCTGTCCTCCATTTATCACAGTGACGTCGAGCCCTGGGATGTATTCAATACACCTCACTTCATAATTCCATTCAAAGCGCACAATGAAGGAAATCACACTTAATTGCCGCTCTAGGCAAGAATCAAAGAAAAATAGCACTTAAGCTAAGTGCCCTGAATTTCCGTTTAGTGTTAAGACAATTATTTTGATGAATTCAACACATTCTTAATTTCCTTTGAAAAAGGGCTGCTGCGATATAATTGCCAAATCCGTCTCTCAGGAACTGGACAGTTTTACTCAGTTATCATTTATCTCCCCCATGTCAGCCTCACTCTGATTTGGATCCTGTGGAGTCCTTATCGTTGTTTGTGTGTGTGTGTGTGTGTGTGTGTGTGTGTGTCACTCTGGATGCGTTTCAAGCCTGCGCGATTAGCAACACAATGAATCGTCGCCACGGAGAGGTGACACGGACATCTGCGTGGTTTCGTGACACATTTTTCACGCCGCGCACAAGATGTCACCTTCAGCAGATCTCATTTTAGTCTGTTTGGTTTTAACTTCCTTTGTCTTCAAAAGGAAAAAAGAGGAAGATGGATCTAGAATTGGGAGACAAAGTCGAGCACAACTAGAACAGGTAGAGATGGGATGACAACTTGACATAAACTGATTTAACTATGGAGGTGACACAGTGAGGTGAGGCAGGCAGAGCGAGAGAGAGAGGGGGGGAGGAAGGGAGAGGAAATGAACAGTGAAAAGGGAGAACAGAAACAGAGGAGATTCAATGAGCATTGAAGTGGATTTGTTTCAGCTCACTTTCTGGATGGTTGCCTTTTGAAAACCTGCACATTAGTGCACGTCGTGTGTTTGTGCGTTCATGTGACTTCACCACACACACACACACCTCCTACATAGAGTCATTTTCCTACAATACACAATCCATCAACGTCAACTTGCATCAACTGCCAGCGAGCGCCGACAGGTCGACTTCCTCAAATGAAGAACACACCGTTTTTTTTATTACTTTTTCAACAGCCGGCGAACTGTAGTCCAAAGCACTTTTGAAGACACACAAGTGAATTGCACCTCAGTTAAGTGACTGTTTATATGCTATCAAGACTACTAGTGAAGCTGCAGTTTGGTCGTCCTAACATGCACTACGCTCGAGATAACTCGAGGTAACCCGCTCGTCTCCTAGCATCCCTTGCGGATGAAACTATGACCATTCATGTCATATATTAAACCAACCTGTTGATGATTCAAAAAGCTGCTTTTAAAGTGCATAGAATTTCACGAAGAACAATGACCGCGTTTGACGTCATAAAGCCTTTCAAATATCTCGTTTTGTCACATCGACCGTCAAAATCCCTCAAATAAATTATATTATATTAATTGAGAAAAATTCTGAAAATTCTCATAAAAAAAAGTCCTTTTTTTTATTAATTCTTTTTATTACAATTTTTGGCAATTCCTGACAATCAATTAATCCATTAATGGAATAATGTCCACCCAGGTTCCATTGAGTACGCACTGTTAATCATATCAAAAGCAGCGACCTCATTTTTATACTGTATATAAAAAGGTAAAATCACGTGCAGATGCACTTGAGTGGACATTCTTTGTTCCCACTTTGATTAAAGCCTGAAAATCGGCCCTCCTGGAGCACCGCTTCACAGTAACACCGCAGAAGGACGAGGGAGAGACTGGGAGAGAAAGAGGAACCGAAAGAGAGGAGGAGGAGGAGCAGAGAACTGACAGACACCAGGCTGTCATCGGGGGCTGGTCTGACATAATTTGGAACTAAAGCCAAAGTTCTATGCAAAAGATGTGGAGACAGATGACAGTCTTCTTGTGAGTGGTTTGTTACAAAGGAGCGATCGTTAGTAATGGGGACATGTGCTGAAATTACCAGTTGTGCCAATCAAGCTTATGATGGTATTTGAGAATGAAATGCGAGGGACTGGAAGCCAAACAGATTCTGGCACTTAGAAGATAATAGACAGACATTAAAGACGAGATCTTTTTTTTTCCTATTTTGGAGACGCATCAACCAAACCTCAATAACCGATTGGATCTGTACCGATCAATCTCAATTCGGTTTGAGGTTTCATCCCTTTGGTTTGATGAAGCAAGTTTGCGCTTTTTATTCAGCACCATCTGTTCAGTTGGAACCAGAGTGACATTACTTTGTGACAGATATCGTCCTGCATGCACGTGCAACTAAAGAGTTATCTGTGCACACACAAGAAACTCAGCAGAGCTGACACTTGAGGTTTTACTGAAGCAATGCCAAATCTTTCCATGCTGCAGCACGCCGACAAAAGCCAACTATGCAGAAAAAACAGAAGATCTTTCTTTCCTAAGTTGACGCATTTCTAGAGGCATTATGTTCAAATAACTTCAAATATAGAATTTAAATACATTTCCCAAGTTTCTGGTCTCAATCGGCGTAACCTTCTTCCTTTATCGCTTGGAGTTTGTCTCTCATCACGCTGCCTCCCTCACTTCCCCCCTTTGTTTGTCCAGGTGTCCGAGCGCTGCGACTATGTGTATGTCAACGGGAAGGAGACAAGAGGGAAGAGGGTGATGCTCAACTTTACCTACAGTTTCCTGAGCGCCCAGCTGGAGATGAGCGTGTGGATGCCCCGCCTGCCCTTGGTCATCGACTTGGCCGACCCAGAGCTCAGCCAGATTAAAGGCTGGAGGGTTCCCGTTGGTACTGGTAATAGAAGGTAAGACCCGATTGTCCTTCGCATCGGTTTTTATTTCGTACCATGCATGCCTGTTTTGTGTTGAATTGCAGCATTGCATTAGAATGCATACGGCAACTATATTCCCAGCACGCCAAGCTAAAGGCTGAATAGATTTTAGGTTGTATCTAGTGTCTGCCCATGTATCACAGCAAGTTTCCCCTACAGGGAAAGTCTAAGCTTCTTTGTTTAGGTCATTAACTTGAGAAGTTTTTAACACTTCCTGCGTGAGAACAGATCACATTCTTTACCAGGTAAAATAAATGGAGGCCACAATAAATTATCTTGATAATGTTGGTGCAGATATGCGAGGCATAAAATGCAGGTGCAGATGCAGAGGAGCTAAAACGAGTGTCTCATAATTCATTGGATCCACTGGTCTCCCAAAGGGTACTTATGGTGAATAAGAAACTAATGATTGCATTACAGAGCGTGGCCAAAATTCCTAGTGAAAGAAGAGTGCACAATGTGTTCGCTGCGTGGGGAGTTTTACGATGCGTTCGCAATAAGGATATTTCCATTATTGATAATATGGTAATATTGATATTTTTATTTAATTAAAAAATATGTCTCATTAAAAAAGAGATAACCCAAATCAAATTAACAGATCGTTATCAACATGCACTGACTAATCTAACTATGGTAAAGACACGGGGCACAGTGGGTTTGTACTGAAAGGATAAATATTATATATTATATACATGTAAATAATCTATCCATTGACATATAGATTGTCTTTATTGTTAGTAAGTAATTGAATTAAGTAATGGGTGAGAACGTCCATCCACAATTTTTAATTTTTTAAATACTTTAAATGGAAAAAGATTTGTATATGATATGAAATTATATGGAATACACATTTTTTAACGTACATTCCTGGCACGGAGTCACGTGCCATGTCCCATCGGCCAACACGCCACAGGGTGGCGCTCTAACGGCCCTGCTGTCCACGCCTGATCCCATTAGTCGTGTCCGTCATTGCATCACTGCACGAACAACGCTGGAGTATATCAAAAACTAAATCGACTTTTTTTTGTTTACCATAATGGGTCAACGCGCCCGATTCGACCACGCGCTGACGTGCGCACTCACATGAGCGCGCCAGCCACCGGATTGCACACCTTGACCAACCAGTCACTCACCGCCTCAAACATGGCCTGACCTCGTGTTTCTGTTGCCGGCCACAAATGTCACCTTGGTTTAGGCTGCCGTCCCCTCACTGATGTGGACGAAGGGGGGAGATGGTGTTTTTTTTGGGGGGGGGGCGCATGGAGAAAGGAGGCCATAGGAGCTAAGCCAAGCCGTTGGGCCACAGCATGTTAACCTGTCAGCCCATTTTTCTGCCTGAGCGGCCGTGCCTCATTAAACCTAATGGAAACTGTCACTGTCACTCCCCCCCCCGGCCAGCTGACTGTTAGAGACGGAGATGCAGGCAGAGCTGGAAAGTGAAAGAGAATGAAAAGGTGTTAGTGGGTGAGTGAGAAAGAAAAGCAGAGTGAGAGAGAAAGGGATTAAAGTCAAGTCAAGTTAAAAAATTGATGTATGAAATACAGAAGGAGAGTCAAGACGTAAAGAGAGAGAAATATATGACAATGGTAACGCTCGGGACAACTAGAAAGATCACTATGGTTGTAGAGAGAGATGGAGGATGCAGGATGGGTAAGGGTGACGTATGCACCTAATAGCTATAGCAACGTTCCTCTTCATTGCCAACAGGGAGCAGTTTGTTTGTTTGTTTTTCTGGAAGCAGGATACGGACCTTTGGGAGGTACAGACACATTTCAGTTAATCATGACGCACGGCAACCTGTTGAGAATATATAATATTTGTAGCGCAGAGGAGAATCAAACGGACCCTTAAAACAGCCGGTTCTGAAGGAGATGGGTTTTTTCATTTTCTATTTCAGCTTTGTAATTACTTTTTTAATGTTACAAGTGTACGGTACAACTTGTTTCAAACATCTAGGTGCCTAATGGCTTCGACGCCGTAAAACATTAGGAAGGTGTTCTATTTGTATCAATGGTTGGATGTTTTATTACATCCGTAGTGGCACCAATAAGACCCCTTTCGTAATGCATTGCGGGATTTTTCCGAATTGCCAACCCTCGCCCTTCCTGTCCGACCTTCCCCGCTCTAATGTGTGCCTGTTAATGTGATGAAGGGCCATATAAACTTCACTTAAGTAGGAGGAATAGTGCGGAACAAATGTGCAAAAAAAATCCCCCCCCCCCCCCCCATACTGCGATTGCAATCGTTCATTTGTAACAAAACGGATATTTTTCTGAGATGTCTGTAAGTGTTTGCTGCGGGCCAAATAAATGGCAGACATACAGAAAAATATCAGTTGCCCTTTTAAAGAAAATGAGAAAGGCGAGGCAGCAGTTTGTCTCCGCGAGGTGCTTTTAATGGATTTTTTGGAAACACTGGGAGCCTCGGACTTTCGGGAAAAAACCTGCAGCACAACGGAAATTAAAGGCGTTGACTGCACTGCAGTAAGACTTTGTGTGCATTAATGGTGAGGAGGAAAATTACAATCCTACTTCAAAGTATTGGTCCCCTGAGGACTACTTGAAACACCACGAACTACACTGTGGTACTTGCGCCATCTGCGCTCACATTTCTTCACGCTCCTCCCAATTTGACCCAACGCTCGCCTGCCCGTCCCTTTGTCGTCCGTCCAGGTACGAGAGGGTCACTGATGACCGGAATGAAGACGACGCAGCGGACGAGAGGAAGGAGGGTGGCTGCGTGGCCCAGTATCAGAGCACCACCCTGCGCGTCCTCACGCACTTTGTGGCGGACGGGGGAGACGTCAGGGGAGCCGCGGAGGAGGGCGGCCTCGGTCAGCAGAGCTTCCTGCTGGGTAGCGACTGGCAGGTGGAGGTGACACAACTGGTCAAGGACTTTCTGAGGGTGGAGGTCCCGAAGGTGGCACAACTGCTGGATGGACAAGTTCTAGTGGGAACGAGCGCTGGAATCACCAAACTACAGGTGTGTGCGCGTGTGTGTGTGTGTTTTGTTAGCAAACCGCATTGCTTTTTTGTTTCACTCCGGTCCGACACCACGAGCGAGTAAACGTTCCGCTGGGGGAGTGACTTCGCCCAAGCCAATCAGCACTGACGGACACATCCGTCACGTTAACAGAATTTTCAGTCGACACAGGAGCAACTAAACAATCTGCCATTTGAGTTGCAATTCATCCGTCATCATTTGACTCTGACGACTTTAATCTCAATCTTGCGCACGCTGCCCTTATTAGCTGGGCTGTGTTTCCAACAGCCAGCGAGCACCACTCAAAAATCTGACATGTGGGGACGTACTGCACAAGTATTTGGTGAAATAGATAACTCCATCTCAATATTATCAGTTCACAAGACAGTATTAAAGAAAGAAAGAAGAGAATCTCCACTAATCAAAAGTTTAGCTCAAATGTATAACTGAAGAGCTTGATACGGTTTTAAGCCCCTTTGTGTTCAAACTCCCATCAACCCAGCGTCAAGCAAGCGGACCACCAGGTGAGAAAACAATATTTTTTAAAGGGGTTGATTGAATGTTGGACGTCCATCCATCAGATAGCCAAAAGAGTGTCTCTGAATAAGTGCTAAATGCTAAAAAGCAATTGTTTTTTTGGGGGGGCGGGGGTTCGGCAACGACTAAAAAGTAAAGAGAAAGAGGTTGCGAGTGAGCGAGACATTTGGAAGATGTGGAGAAAAGACACAACTGGTTTGGCTGTGCAAAGAGAACGGCTTACAAAAAGCAACTGCATTGATCGCAGCATAGCACAAATACTTAAGCCCATCATGAGCTAAAAGAGAAACGTGGTAGCCCGGCACGTCTCCGACCAGCCTGCACCTCTGCAGGAAGAGAAAGAGTCAGAGAGTTCTCTCTTTCTCTCTCTCTCTTCACATACAACGATCAGAACGCCATGTGCGTTATACTGCAGCCGAGGTTCATGCTGTGTCCACCGTCACCGTGAACCAACGTCATCAATCAAATAGTTAGTTGGCTAGTTTCAGTTCAAGGTTATCATGTGGTGGATTTTCATCTAACTGATCTGAGATGTTATACAGTGGAAGGTTGGGGGATCGGCTCTGTGGGCCATTCAACAAACTGTATTTTAATATTATTTGTTGAAGCCTTAAATGCTCCTGATTTACCGGTGTACTGTGTGTGAGACTACGTAGACAGACGTGCAACAATATACTGCATTTGTTTTTCTGTTTGTGTAAGATGTCAGAAATACCGGGTCAGAAAGTAATGTTTAAGGCAATTTTGAGTAGTTTGGCTTTGAAAGAAATGGCACTTTTGGATTGGCGGTAAATATACAGCCTGGGGTTTCTTTCTTTTTGGATGAAGTATCTATCAAAAGTGGTGCCAATTTGTTTTGTTTGCCTTCATTTTGACCATGAGGACTTAAACCCATTAGAGGAATATCACAGTAATGAAGAAATAATATCCCGTCATTTGGTTTTCTATTAAGAGCAGCTTGATCTAGCTCTTTCATAGTGATTTATAATTGCTGGTACATAGAATATGTCGGGCTGATTGATTTGGAAAACATAACAAATTGTATTTTTTGATTAATGGAAAAGTCTGCATATGATGTGTATGCACTAACATGACAATTTTCATTTAAATTGGTATTTTGAAACACACACACACGTCTCTTTTAACAAATATATTTTTATATATAACTTAACAAATTATGACTCCAGTCATAATTTTGAGAAAACAATTTATTGTGCATCTCTAATAATCTCCTAAAATGTAAATTCAATAAAGGTTAATTGAAATGATGCAGAAATGATTTGATATTCAACATATCTTTGGCCTGCTGCCCAGGTGCTCTCTGGAAAGGTTAAATCATTAAAAAAGAAACTTGATCTGGATTTAGCACAAAGCTTTTGGCTTAATAGAGAAAAACACTTGTTGAAATGTCCAAAGTAAAGCATGAGTTCAGCGCCATGAACCACTCGGGTTAGCTGTTGTGGAACATTTTCCAAATCAAATAATTGAGTATATTTTTATCTTTCTACCATACGAGCAGCAAATAGTTTCTAATCATTTAAGCCCACGCTGGATATTATTGAGTATACCTTCTCTCTTTTACTAAAATTCTATTGTTGAGTGTTGCTGAAGCTGGACTGGGGCTTTTTAAACATTAGTGGTGTCATGTTCTATGTTCAAGTGCAGGTTGAGAGACACGTGAGCTTGAGCGCTCCATCGTTCAAAGTGAAGGATTTCTGCCTTAATCATCCAAATACGTGTAATAAATCCCCGATCTTTTGAATACATAAAATATTAGGGGTTACATTCTTGATCAAACTGTTCAGAATTGCAATGAAGGACTTTGATTTGACAATTAAAGGAAAGGAAAGGATTTCAAAAGGCCACTAAGGTATTAAACGATTCCACAGTAGCAGTAGAATTGGGGATGTGATCATTAACATACTGCAAGTTCAATGCGGTTTGAGAAGAAAATGAATTAAACCATTCGTGTGTTGAACCTATTTTGCCATTAACGGTGAGTTTGCGACAACGTCTGGCCAACGCCGGTTTATAACATTGTTGGGATGCATTAAACAAGATTTAAAGAGAAATAGTACAACAGAAAAGAGCTTTGAAGAAGCACGCCTGGAAGGGGTCTTTAATTGTTCTCTGGTGGTGGAATAAAGCAAAGAATTTAGGGGCCGGTGTGAGGGAGGGCTTCACTTCGTATGGGCAATCTCACAACTACCCTACGAAGGCCAAAGATCTGCAATCTCTCTAATGGGTTTAAGGAGAGAGACGACATCTCTGAAAATTGAACTGAGGACTGTGATAAAGGGGAGGAGGGGGGGTCAGAATAAAAGGAATGCAGCCTTGACCTCTTTGCGAGGAGAGCAGCCAAAGCACAGATATTTGGACATTTGATAGTGTGTAGTCTTGGTTAAATATAGAAGGAAATAAATCAGCGATGCAAAAAAAAAAAAAAAATGCTCCTGGGTTCTTGATAAGAGTTTTGTCCCGGTTAGAGATTGCGCTCCTGTCATTTCCAGGAAAAAGAAGTTGGGAAGTACTTGTATTTCATTAGCTTCCTAGTTAGCAAAGCATAAAGCATCTTTCGAAATCATCGCATTTTATTTAATCTTTTTCTCATTTTGTGACGTTGTTTATTTTGCTTTCCTTTTTCAGACACACGATCAGTTTGCCTGCTAATGAATTCGAGTCACAATCACCACCAATCCGCTTGTTAAACTTTTGCACTCATCTCAAATTGGGAGGTTAAACCACATGCCCGTATTTCAATGAATTTGGCCTTGCCTACCATTCAAGGATTTCAGGTTCACTGTGTGGGAGGCAAAAGGGAAAATGAAAAGAGGTGAACCATAGGGAGGAAAATAAGAAAAGGGGTCTGCACAAAAGAGGCAGCGATAGCTGCTGACAGTTCATTATAGCTGGTAAATGCGGCCATGAGGGGGCGGCTGGCGGCGAGACGGAAGCCCTAATTGGAGCGGATGGGAGGAATTCTCATCTCGTAACAATAATCACAACTATTTACACGCTTACACCTCTGCCACCTCGGGGGGGCGGAGAATGTGTTAGTGAGCTGGCCTTTATATGTTTGCATGTGAGGAAAGTGGCATTTATATGTTGCTATGCATGCATTTGCAAGGTAGCTGGTAACTGGAGTTATCAAATAAATACAGTATTAGGGTGGTTCTCAAGAAAAAGGACAATACTTTAGTAAATGAACTTACTTTAAACCATGAGAGCGTTTTTGCCATCATTTCCCACTTCATTAAAATAATATGAAGGTCTCCTAACAGGGACAAGGAAAACTAAGTATTTACCAAGTAATTTGATATTCTAAATAACTAACTACCCAAAATCATTGTCAAATGAGAAGGGATTTGGTTGTAGGCTCAGACAAATGATGTCATCCTGGCAACCGCCCTCTTTTGCCTGAGCATTAATATTTTACATTTATTTTTGTAGTATGTTTTTGCTTTAAGACTTAATTTACAGTTCTGAACTAAGGTGACATTTAATAAGTTGTGAACCAATAGAAGAAAGAACTATGAAGATCAACTATATAGATCAAGCCTGATTTAACGTGAACGATTTTAAAGTGCCCTCTGCCACTTCCTGGTCAACAACAGTTGCTGCTAGCAACATGCCTTCATTCACTGGCACAGTTAGATTGGATGGTGACAAGCCGACGTGCGTCTGTGTGCTGCAGGTGCTGTCCCCTTTGACGTCGGCGGTCCTGGCTGAGAGGACCGTTCGGGTTCTAGATGACAAAGTGAGCGTGACGGAGCTGGGGGTGCAGTTGGTCTCTGGACTGTCTCTGTCCCTGCAGCTCAGCCCGGGCAGCAACAGGGCCATTGTCGCCACTGCAGCCACACAGGAAGTCATTGAATCACTCAAACAGGTACTAATCCTCGCCATAAAAATATCTTGTTGCATTTGATAACGTTAATCTTTTAACAGTGCGGATGATGGTCTTCACTGTATTGGTGCTGCACATTGTATTTGGCTGAATCAGAGTTAATAGGAAATATATTCTATGTCTTGCAATTTTCCTTTTATAATTAATTCACGCCTGCTATAGTCAAGCAATCTCTTTGATTTGCATATCCTACCACTGAACTGCGCTGTCATTCCAATAATTAGAATTTCGAATTGAAACCGCTTCCGTCTCTTCCCTTTAAGAGAAAAGACTATTTGGGTTTCAGGATAATAGTTTCATATCCAATTGTTTCTATGAGCCCGTCTACTGTAATTAAGGCTCACTTTTGCTTCCAGCGTATTTCTCGGGTTTTATTCTACAGTCGTTCCGGTGCATCAATTGGAAGTGTGCAGATTACTGGGACAGAGTTATTTTTTCTATTCTAATAAAAACTATTTCCGTTTGTTTATTCTATCAGGAGTCGCTCATCAGCGCTTGGCTCCAGTTCAGCGACGGCTCCATGACCGCTCTAGACAACTACAACCCGGCCCATTTTACCCTGACAGCCACCTCTTTGGACGAACGGGTGGTGGCGGTAAAGCGCAGCGCGGCGTGGAAATGGCCAATCGTTGTTGCCAAGGGGGAGGGTCAGGGGTTGCTTGTGCGCGTTGAAATGAGCCAATCGGAGGTGTGCCAGAAGGGAAAACGCCGCACTAGCTTGGCCACCGGAATGGCAAACATACAGACACGGTTTGGTCAGCAAGGGGAGCAATACAGACCACCGGGAGACCGGCGAACGCGGCCCGATCCCCCGTACTACGGCGGGTCCATTGCTGACGTAGAAACTGGCATAATCAACCGTGGAGCCACCACCATCAGGGGCCACGTGCCAGTGAGACCAAGTGGCGGCCGTCTGTCAGCGGACAGCGGGGCCAGGGTCCCGAACGAGTTCTCCGAATACCCAGACCAGGCGGAGCTGCCTCGTAGCCGCAGCACCGACGACGACCTGCTACCGTCCCGGCGAAGCCTGACAGACCTGGAGATTGGAATGTACGCCCTGCTGGGGGTCTTCTGCCTGGCCATCCTGGTGTTTCTCATCAACTGCATCTCGTACGCGTACAAGTACCGCAGCAAGCAGCTGTCCCTGGAGGCCCCGGAGGCGATGCCCCACGCCCACGACTGGGTTTGGCTGGGCCAAGACGAGGGCCTGTGCCTGCAGCAGCAGCAGCAGCAGGACGAGCTGGGTGGGGCCCTGCAGGAGGGTAGTCAGTTACTCAACGGGGGGATTCACGGAGGCTGCAGCGCGAGTGGGAGGGATCACCGGAGCGAGTCCCTTAACTCACCCACTACCAAGAGAAAGCGGGTGAAGTTCACCACCTTTTCCAACGCCAAGTCCGGTAACGGATGTCCGGCGCTCAGCCCGTTAGCGCTTGTGCAGACCAGTGAGATAAAATGGGTGTGTCCAGACATTGAGCTCGGGGACTCACAGGATCTTAGGAACTACATGGAAAAGCTAAATGAGAATGCTATCAAGAACACTGCGTAGGAGATGCTGGGTGTTTTCAATGAACTAGAGAAACTCACCTGAATGCCTTCAGAATAGGGAGGAAATGAAGTTAGAAAAAAAAAGAAGTACAGAAGAGAGGCTGGGATTGATGAACAGGAAGTTCAGCTGCTGTTATTTCAATGGGTTGGAGAGTTTTAGGCAACGGACCACTACAGGACATGATTTGCCGTGACACCACAGTATAGATATAGGGAGGGAAAATGTGAACTTGATATTGTTGCTTAACTTTAATGTATGTTGTTTGTCTTTAATTGAGGTTCAGTTTTCTTTTCAATGCCCCATCTACTCTGTTTTATATTTTCTTTAAGTCATTATATTTTATTGTTGTGTTTGTTGTACTTTTTTTGCGCTTTGTTGCATTTTATAAAAGTTTCTGTATGCTCTGTACCATGTCAGCAAATATACATTCTAGGAGAGAAGAGTTAAAAGCAATTTTGTACTGTTGTATAGTTTGATTTGAGATATTACGTGTATAGTAACATTTTGTAAAGTGCTGTTTGGTTTCAGTTTTTTTCGTTTGTAGCTTAGTTTTTATTTTGTCGTCAGAAACCAGATCCACGTATGACGTTACAAAGAGGAGGCATGTCTGTCTGATCTGGTACCTGAAAATACAGTGTGTAGATAACTAATACCAATACCTCTGGAGACATGTCAGCTTAATATTATTGCATTCATTCACCTCAGAGCTGAGCTTCGGATTCAGTAGGTCGATATTGGTTGAAAAATGTACCCGGACATTTGAACCCTCCTTGTGTGAATGTTATTTTTGTATGCCTTGTTCTATTCAGTTATATATTCACATAAAAAAAAAATACTTTTGACATTACTTCAAACCCTAAGATTACAAATCCAAAAGGCAGTAGTCACATTGAACTGAAAATCACTATCAAGAGACTCAACAGACAATCACATGAGTAATGTATGGTTCAACCTCTATCATTTATAATTTTCCGTGAAATCGGTCCCCTTTACGGTTCCTGAGGCCTCGGTGGTGATCGGTAGACGTAGTTCATCTTAAACCTCTGTGTCTGACATTTTGGATTCCCGCAAAAGCGTTGTGACAGGGAGTGAAAGAAACTGTGAAGTGAAAGCCCCAAATCTGACCTTGCTTTTAATATGTCGGTATTCGTCATGTCCATCCTTTTCTATCTCTGTTTTCAAATTGGCTGCTGGACTAATTAAAAGTGGAGGCGACTCTTCTCCATCACGCAGCTGTGTGAGTCATTGGTCTGGCTGTTGAATTCTTCCCTTGATCACCTCACAAATGTGTTGTGCGCCGTTCAAGCTTTATATGTTAATTTTTTCCAGTTGAGGCAGGAATACAGTAAAGTAAAATAAATGCTATCATTAAGCACTGTAGGATAATACCTGAGAAAGTTTTGCATCATAAAGAAGCTGTTATAAAGGTTCATGGCAAGTTCTCCGGGATCACAGACACGCTCCCCTTTCTAAAAGGGCAATCTAATTAGAGATTACTTAGTTCATTCTCATTACATGTTAATGTGGCATTTCCTGTGCAATTTGTCTCGCGGTAGTTTACCTATGAATCAACTCCGATATAATCTGCAGCCTACTTAAAGCAGAACCAATGACCGGTGCGTTGGAGATGTGTCCAGGTAACCAGGAAGGTCCCACACCCGTCCCACATGGTCCACCGACACCTCTGTGAGTCAGCTGGGACGTCTCGTTTCTAGGGGGGGGTTTCCCCTCGGTCCAAGTTATATAATATTGAATACCAATATGGAGTTCAAATCCAATACTAAAGGTAAAGCAGGAGGTTCCACGACACACGGTGCTCAGCGGTCTGCATGCACAGCGATGGTGAGGATTTGAAGAATCTTGCCACACGAGGGCACTATACCTTTGGATTATGCCGATAAATCTCATACTCATAAAGTAAAAGCCTGCGCAACATCTCTATTAACATACATCTCTGAAAACTTGTTGGTGATATCAAGGTCAAACAATAAATCTGACTAATTTTAATATTTTAGCTATATTTTGCAGTCACTATTCTCTCGCTCTTTGCTTTGTTGATAATTAACGGTTAGCTACAGAGCTTATAATGTAAGGTGGTTTCCTGTCACAACTTAATAATTAGGATGGATTTAATGCTAATTTAATGCTAATTTTTTACTGAAATTCCTTGTTGCCTTTAGTTCCTAAACAACACTACTGGACTACTGACAGCAGTGTCTCAGACAACACAAGGCTTCTGTGCTCATTTGCATCAATTAACAAGAAAGGACCGCCATATGTTTCTAAAGAAAATTGCCATACCCAAGACAGCGATATCTGCACTGGGAAATAGTTGAGGCCTCCCAACGCAGGTGAGTCAGCTCGACAGAACTGAAATTGACAATTTACATGAACAGCCGTCACTGAATGACACCGTAACTTCCCCAAGGCTCACTGAAAGGCAAGAACTCGAGGCGCGCATGGTGAGCGGAATTTCTACCTACTGGGATGATATTAAACCGTAAGAGGAATGCAGGACTGTATTGCACTCCTAAGAATGGCCAATTAGGACAAAGTTGGCTGAGCCGCTCAAGTCCTCGGCTAAGCCAACTTTGTCCCGGGACATCAGACGGAACTAGAAAAATGCCCAGCTAGAGCACCGTGAATAATGCTGAATCTCCACGACAGGAATGGAGATGGGTTTGAAGAATTTTAGCCAACAGAAAAAGACAGCCGTGGGAAATAGAGCATAAAAAGGTGAGAGAGACGATCAAATATTTTAGCCGTAAGTAGAAACAGTGCTATTGTCTGTGACATACGGGAATGGAAATACATCTCAACACCCTAAAAAATGAATCCAGTTATTCTACATCAATTGGTCAATTGTTCCATTGAACCGTTTAGAGGCCTCTGCAAATTGGAAGCCCCGTTATTTAATAACAGTGGTCCGTTTCCAACCGTCAACAAAGAGGAAACGGGTTTGGCAGATTGATATCATTGCAGCCAGACCTTTGTTCTGAAAAGGATCTACTACATTAATGACTTTGATCTGTTCCGGGGGAAGTAGCCAATTAGTGAGGACAGCTGCCTTCCGCCGAAACATTGGAGTTAAAGTACTGATGGATCATAATTGGTTCAGTCTGCGACACCCGTCAAGGCCCAAGAGGATGCAACCTCAAACGCAGCAGCCTCGTTGCCACAAACCACAAAAACAAGATGAAAAACCAATCCCTCCTTCCTCTCTTCTTCCCAGCCTCACCCAAAAAAAAGGAGCTCTGCCATGTCGTTTACCAGCCGCCCCAAACAAGCACATTCTGTGACACCGACCTAGACGATAATGAAGACGGCCGAGCGAGAAAGCGGCTCTCTCGTCGGAGCGGGTTAGACTGATGAGGCCAGCGAGGTCACCAAATGTTTGCCTCGTCTCCCCTGCCCACCCCCCCTCGGGGTTCTCTGACAGGCAGCGATCAGGGATAAAGGAACTGGACGGGGTGCAATTGGATCCCACAGAGTTCCAGTGACACATCTCTAAACACCAGTGGCAGTCATATCAACACAAAAGGAAACGTGCCAGGCGCAGACAGGAGAGAAGGCGCAGAGGACGTACGGGGTCCATGCCTCCACCTCTGCTCCCCCCCCCAGAATACTCCCCATTTACCCAGTGTGGGCATTTCTCTACCCGATCCTGTGGTTGCCCCTCCATCACTGCCAAGGAGCAAAATCAACAGCTGCACGCCGTGTCTCTGTGTGGACACACGACTCACCATCAATTCAGCATGAGATCTCCGTCCCGTCAGAAATAATCTGAAACCGACACTGCTTAATGTTCGGTCTCTAACGAACATCAGTTTTGATTAACAATCTTATTGTTACTTTTAACTCGATCTTATCGTCTGGTTCGATGCACCAGGCCCACCTCATTTCTATTTAACAGATATAATCACATGTGGAGGAAGAGTAGGAGGAGTTGCAGGCTCATTTAATGATGATTTCTTGTGCATTTGTATGGACTCAAACAAAGATGGGCCCGTCAATAAGCCGTTATAATGTCGTTGGTTCTGTCGTGAGTTGTGGGCTATTACTCGAGATTAACTTCAAACAATACGAACAACTGTTAAAAAGTGGTAACTCAGTAAGGATAGTGATGCAATTTTCATGAAAGCTTCTTTGCCTTGACCTCTGTTAATGACCTTCTTCAATTATTTACATTTAGAAATTGAAAATGGCACTAATGGCGTTGTATTTGCTGAGGTTGAATCATAAACCCTGAAATATCTAGAACCAAGGAGGACCTGCTCCCATCGCAACCCCTTATCAACAAATGCAATGAATGAGAACTTAATAACATTCAGCTTTTAAAATGTCCATGTCCTGCCAAAACAAAAATTCAGTCAAGAAATATGGCACAATGGACACGATGTTATGCTGTTGACACGGTAGGAAATAGAGCTTCCTGCGTCTCTACAGTACCAGCTGTCTTAAGATTACATTTATTTTTCTATTCTTATGAATTCATTTCCATGAAAATTATGTCAGTTTGTCTTTATGCACCTTTTTGCCTTCTTCTTTCTTTATATGTTTGCATTGCTTTTGTTTATGGGCCACACAAACACCTGTATATTTGACATATTCTCTCACATTCATTCATTACAGATTCGAACTGGAATTTCTGCAGCATTTGAAAGACTTGGTTAAAGCCGAGAATGTTATGGAACAATTGTGTCAAACTCGGTCAGCCACTATTATTAAGCCGCTGGCTCTAATGTCATTATCCTGACTGCCGTTTATCTCACCGTTAACACTATTGCTTGGGGTTTTTCTCTCGCGTGTCTTCGTAAAACAAGGTCACCACTTCTACTTCAAGCCCTTTTTACTCTTCCAGGCCGCAACTTGGTGATGCTTCTTTTATTCTAATCGTTCCAGACCAAAAACTTTCTCCCTACCCCGAGGATCTCCATACGGCTCCACTCGCCTTTCAATCCTCGGCCTAAAACCACTTGGACTTGTGCCTGTGTCCTCTGCAATGACCTGCCAGCGACGGGCTTCGCAGATATGAAGATCTCTCGATCTGCAGTCGCACTAACTAACTAGCTACCTGATGCTTATGTGATAGAATCTACCCCTCTAACCATTACAAACCGTCTCCGCTGACATCCACTATGGTTTACTCCTATTTCACGGCTTTCCTATACCGTCAGAATGCAAAGTAAATCTCGACGCAGCCTTTACCCCTTTCTCCTCATTTCTTTCCTTGCGGATCGGGGCGAACATTACCAATTACACTCCTGTGTCACCTCGCAACCCTCCAACTGACAGTTGCCCTTCATCTAGGGTTACACTAATTACCTCATCCGGATTTGCAAACTCGAGGGGGAAGGGAAAAGGTGAGGAAAGACACCAAATTTAAATCAGGATATGCTGTTAATCGGCTAATGAAGCCTTGTGGAGAATTTTGAATTTTGCAAACATCATGCAGCCTCTCTATGTATGCAGTACCAGTCAAAGGTTTGGAGACACCTTCTCATTCAATTGAATGGGAAAGTGTGTCCAGACTTTTCACTGGTACTGATATTTATGTATGACAATTTGTTTGCACCATGAAACCAGATCTCCAACTTTAGAGTGTAAATAATCATAATAATCATCATGATAACACTGCATTTTATTGACGTATAAATCACATCTCGCATCACAAAGGGATTAAGGTATTTGTCCTGCATGGTGGAACCACATCAAACAAAATTCAGACTGAATTTGGAAAGCAAAGATCCTGAGTTTGAAAAAGGATATGTGCCGTCAGAAGTTGCACATTTTAATGCTCACTGTGATCCGTTTCCCATGTCCTCAAAAGGTAGCTGAAATTCTCCACAGTGGGAGGGGAAAAGGACTCATTTAAATGGCAGACTACACATTCGCCTGCAAGAATATGTCTCTCCCGTGCAACGCTTGCTAGGAAAGATGTAATAACTCTCAGTTATCAGGCATAATTGGAGGAATACAGTAAAAAAAAATTAAATATCAGGGAATCATATGTTCATTATTATTTATCGCCAGCGGTGGGAAGAAACAAGTGCCGCCACTGCGCTTATTCACAGGTTGGCATAAGTATTGGCTGCAGTCTCCTGCTACTCGAAGCTTGTTAAAGATTTTTGAATATAACAGCCATTATCTAGACTTCTCATTGTAAAGTCATACAGCCCTTCAGGCACAGTGCAAAAACACTGGCTCGTCGTCTACATGCGTCACCCTTTAG